TTCTTTCTTTCTTTCTTTCTTTCTTTCTTTCTTTCTTTCTTTCTTTCTTTCTTTACTTCCTCTTTCTTCCTTTCTTCCTTCTTTCCTTCCCTCCTTCCCTCCTTCCTTCCTTCCGTCCTTCCATCTTTCCGTCCCTCTGTCCTTCCGTCCTTCTGTCTTTCCTCTCTCTTTTTTTCTCTCTCTTTCCATCCACTCTCTCTCTCACACCTCTCTGCAGTGTACTTTCCCCAGCCAGTGGTCTTCCCTACAGCTGATTCCTAACATTATACAGGAGGACTTACACATCCTGCCCCAGCAGCCAACTAATACCCAGCTTTGAATTACTATTGAATAAGCAGCAATGAAATCCCTATCAAAATAATCAGTAGTTCCAAAAACCACAAACAACAAAACAAGCAGCGTTGCACCAGCTCAGCACGCCCGCCTGCTGCATACGGGCCGGTGAGTCATTTCTCTTTTCCCTCCCTCAGCAACCTCCATGGCTGCCTCGCTCAGCCCCGGGGAGGGCAGGTGGAGTGGGTAGGGCATGACTTCAGAAAGTTAAAAAAAAAAAAAAGAAAGAAAGTTGACATCACTCAGGTCACGTGACTCAGAGGGACCAATGGAGGCAGGTTATGGAAAGGGGAACAGTTAAATTTGTAATTTTGGTTGTGTGAAACACTTCTTTGGGCCTCATAAACAACCACAGAACCACAAGTTGGGTACAGAGGCAGTCACACAAGAGCGGGTCCGGGATATTGGTCAGCAGGCAGGGCAAATCGCTTTGACTGCAAACCACAGTTTCGTAGAGTGGTAAGCATCATCAACCACAACCGATCCGCTATTTTTTTTTTTTTCTTTTTAAGAAACAATTTCAGAGTTCTTTTAGCAAAAGAACCTTATTATTTGCTTTGGGTTACTCAAGAGGCACTGGGATAAAGCAGAACGATGGCTGGGCAGAGGGTGGTAACAATGACCGTTCTTTTCACTTTTTCACTTCCCAAGGTAGAAGAAATCATATATTCCTTCACTGTAAAGAGAAAGTGAGTTTTAAAGAGGAAACAATGGCTTCAAACAGCGTATTTGATTCACTTCCTTCTTACCAGCACTTCTTGAGAGGTAAGTGCCATTCATACTTTCTAAATATTCTTTTCACTATCCCATACATAAGCAAATGCATGTCTGGAGAGAATTTGAGGACTTTCTTGTAGTACATTCTTTTTCCTACTTCAATTTTCCTCAAGGCGTTCTTGTTCAAGCTAGTATATGAGCTTGTAGGAATACCACCTTATTACTTATCATCCATTAAGGAGATTATAACATGGGCTCATTTAAGCTGTTCAAACAGGCATTGCATGCTTGTGAATTTTCTCTTCATAAATCAAAGTCTGTTTGAGGAGCTCACATGAATTAAAGCAGATACAATAGCAGTAGCACAAGTCCCTTTTGATTCCTTCTGGCAGAATTATGACTTTTTGAGCCACTGCCGTGAAAAATGACAGCCAGCTGCATACGACACCCATTACAGGCTGCACCCCCACGAGCGAGCAGCAGGCTCGTGCCGGCAGCCAGCAGAGCGTGATGCTGGCTCACTTACACTGTGCTATCAGCCTGGGTGAAGGCACACTCGCTGGGGAGAAGCCGGGAAAGCTCAGAAACCTGCGTAAAGTTGGCTGCAACTCACATGGCTCCGGAGAAGCGATGTGGGTAAATTCAGGGTTTCTGTTGATGCCACGCAGGTCTCTGATGACTGTGATTTATTGGCTGCAACCAATCCTAGAGAAATGAAGTCGTCCTGTAAGGGCTGGGGAGGGGAATGAAGTGCAGACCCCGGCAATCTGACTTGTTTCACTGTGACTGAGCATATTCAGAGGCTTGCTGCTCAGTCATGGGTTATTCATTCGAGTGAGCCTGGGACTGGCACGACAAACTTGTTCGCTTTCTTGTAACTGCCTTCCCAAATAGCGCATGATGCAGCTGAACTTTTCCCCTTCCATGCACACCCTCTGAGTGTCCGAGCCCCTTCTGCAGTGCCGTGCCTGCCGGATGACAGCGTGCAGACGGCTCATCAGACGGCTCATCAGACTTGGCCAGCATGCCACGGTACAGCAGCGCTGTGTAGCTCTTTATAACTGCAGACTACAGCTTCCCGGCCTTGCCGCTGCTGTCAGCATGAGTCACGCGTTATTCCTATTAATATGCAAGTTGGGAATGCGGAAGGCTCGCCCCTGGTGCTGTGTCACAGCAGCTCTGTGAACCCTGAGCTGCTCCCACCAACCGCCATGGGATGAGGGCAGGGTGCCAAAGCACCCACCCACCATCTCTCCTTGCTTTCTTTTCTTCTTTTTGTCCCCCTCCCGTGATGAAAGTTTTTCTGCGTCTTTTTTTCCTGGTGCCAGCGGGGAGCTGAACGCAGTGAGCTGTGCGAGTCAGGCAGGCTCATAGCATCCTGGCTCACAGCATCACCCAGCCTGCAAGGGGAGATGCCGGAGGCTTGGCAGGAGGCAGCTGGCTGCTCCCAGCACTCACCGTGCTAATGTTTTGCCAGCTCTGCTTCCAAGCAAAGGAAGCAATACTGTTAGAGTAGCAAGAAGGATCTTCCTGCATTTTGTCAGCTTTTTGTTGTTGTTGTTGTTGTTTTTTAAGTCACCCAACTGTTTGCAGTTTAATCTGTAGTACAGGAAGACTTCTTGAGGAAATTCTGTCCTTCTGATAAAATAAAAAATAGCGAGCCTCATGGGGCAGCACTTGCAGTGTGCCAGAATACAGCCAGCCCGTGGGATGGGCTGGGGGCAGTTGAGGCCATCCTGCGGGCAGGAGCCCCTTAAAGTGCAGGGGAGTGACTGCATGGGGACCAAGGGCTGATTCTTTCTTGCCTAGATTTGCTAAGGCTGGTTAATCCAGCTAGTGGATTACCTCAGTGCTTCAGTATAGGCATTATTATCTTTCTCAGTACCGCTTGCACTCTTATTGTTAACACTGCAGTAATCTGTACTCCTTCATGGACAAGGTCCCCATTATATTAGATACTTTAAGTACAGATCCTGGTAGGTATCCAGCACAAGCGAGGTGAAACTGCAGCTGTTCAGTGCAGGAAGAGCTTGGGCAAGAGTGCTTTGGTTGGGTTATAAAGCAAATGCCTCATCATTGTGAAAGAATATTGCGTTTTAACATGGAAAGCTGCAACGTTCCTTTTTTGTTCCTGTCTTTGCTCAAATGAACTTCAGACAATTTCAAAATTCTGGGGAGAACAAGAGCAATGCTCGGGTCTCAGAGCAAGAAAAATAATCATCCCCAGGGCAGATTGTTCTCAGCCATATTTCTCAACAGTGTTTACACAAACTGGCCATTAGAAATGTCCCAAACCATCTCTTCTTTTTTTCCCGCCAAAATTTATTACACTTTTGCCTCTAGCCGAAATTATGAGGTAAAGAGAAAAGTGACTTGCATTCTGCCATGGATTTCACTTTATCAGCCCGTGCAGTTCTCTGAGAAGGAAATCCATTACTTTTTTTTTAGCGTGGTACTATGTGAAAATTGGGAAAAAAGAAAGGGAACGGGGAAGCAGAACAATTGTTCCAGCCCCTGTGAGCAATGATAGACATAGAAAGCCTGACATATTAATTGAATGTGGTACACCACAAAGGATATGGCCCTCTTTCTATCACACCACACCAGGTCCTTGCTTCTGCCACTAGGTAAAGAAATGAGGATTGCACTGAAACCTCCAGTGATGTGCTCTGCGTGCTGAACACATTTACATGTTTACCAGCTCTGTTTTTAATGATGGCCTCATTTTCCTAATGGCCTCTTTCAGTTTATGGCCTGGGCTGTGTGTTAGGAGTACAAAATGAGAGCCTTTTTATGGTTGTTTTGTTGTTGTGGTACAGCCCTCAATAAAACATCACTCGATCCCTTTCTCTAACCTGGGTTCATATCAGCAAGGCTGCCATTTCAACTCGTACACAAGCATGGTTTGTAGGATGAGGACAGATTCGCTGGTTTTATTAGGGGCTGGGTGTGATTTCGTGTGTATGAACTGGGTCACAGAAATGGTATCTTTTGGATAGGAGGACCAAAACAAGACCCATTGGAGAGTCTTGTGCTAAAGAGCGCATGTTTCATTTCTAAAAGAGGCCTAGATAATTACATGATACAACTAACCCCATAATGTCTTTGTTTTTCTTAGAGGCATTAGGCTGTTCTGTAAGGTTTCCTAACAATTTTGCCTGCAAAAGAAGACAGCATAATTAGTCCTTTTACAAAAACATTGGTTTTTGTTTTTTTTTTTTTTTTTTTTTATGGGGTTCTAAATATTATGAAGCATAATATTTTCCAGGAAGGCACTTTCCTTATTTTCCCTTTTGCTACACGGTCTAATTATTTCAGTATGCAAAGAAGGTTGCTCCTAGTTTTGCCTTTGTAGTATTTTTTGTTGATTAATCAAGGCAGTGAAGCTCTGTGGTGCAACATTTTCTTGGTTTCTTATCAAATGGAAATAAACTCCAGCAGAGCACTTTTACAGAATGGAAAAACACACCATGTGTGCTTTATTCTTAGTTTTAACACTGTAGCGATCAGCCATTGTGGGTCTCTTCATTTGCACACGCTAAGTAAAAACATTGCAAGAAGCTCCTCCTGCTTGGAAGGGCTTCTGTGCCTGGTTCTGTAGACACTGGTATACAAGCGCATTGTTTCTCACTGCCCTTTGGTTGCTCTGACTTGTTTTGTGATAGGATTTATGAAGGGAGGTTGTTCCCAAAGCTCCTAGCACCTGTATGTGAGTTAGGAAAATGAGCTGTCCGGAAGCTCCCTGCTATTCAGGTCTGGCTCTGTAGGTTCAACATCCTAGAGTTGGTGCTTATCCGCAGAGGGTGCTGGTGGAGGGCAGGACAGTGTGACTGCTCTTCCCACCTAGGGTTAGCTTCATTCCTCTATAGAGCTCCCTCTGTCTCTGTGATCCTTCAGCAGGGTGTGCAGCCCCAGGCTGAAATCAAAGCAAGCATCTACCTCTATGACGAGAGTTTCCAGTGTCAGCTTTTGTGTGGTCCTAGTGGGACATCAAGCACTGCAGAAAGACATCCTCTGTGAGTACAACTTGTGTCACCAGGTCTAGGTGTGCAACACTGGCAGAAGTAATCATGCTAGAACCAGCTCTCTGTGAAAAACATGTTCTTCTGGGAGATGCACAGTACTCAGCAGTGCCATGTGCTAGGAAAGGCTTTTTTTTTTTTGCTCACCCAGGGAAAGAAATGGCTCTTTTAGCAACAGCATAGTCTAGGTTGTGACTGTGTAGAGAGGGAGCTTTTCCAATCCATTTGCAGGCTGCCTGAACTGTTGCATAGAGTCAATTTGTGTCAGCATTATAAAATACTAACTGCGTCTTGTGAGTGGGAAATTGAACTAAAGCTCATAAAAACGGCTTACTGGAAGAAAAAACATGAATGTTGTCAGATTTACACAGCCTTCTCTGAGTCTTTTTCACTCAAAAGCCTTGAGAAGCACTGATAGACCCAAACACAGGAATTCCTGTCAAGCACGTGGTGGGGTGAAGTACCTGACAGAGATGAATACATTACTTCGGTAAGATCAGGAGATTTTATCTAAGGCCAAAATAATGAACCTTCTGTTTAACCAATCACACTCAGCTTAGTGATGGACTGTGATGTCATTCTCAGCATGAACTCAGGATTAGAATTGGCTTACAGATATGCGGGACTGGCATGCCCAAATGTGACCTTTTTCCACCAACAGAAGAAACTCACCTCACTGTGTGACCCCACTACACACAGCAGGACCCCGCTGGTCCCAGCAGCTGCACTCCTGGAGGGGCTGCCTGAGGTCTGGGCAGGATACTGGGACCAGGTCCTCTTATGTGGTTGTGAAACACAGAAGTGAGAAGCAGAGCAGGTTCAAGAGCAAAGGGAAATGCCTCTTGCCAGTGCTCTTGTAGAAGCTGCCAGCTATCGTGCCTCCTTAAGGGATAACATGAGGTTGCTCACCCCTGTGACAAGGTATGGAAATCTGTCTTCCTCCTACAAATGACAAGGGCTTGTACACTGAAAGCAGCCATGGCACATGCCCCACATAGCTAGTAAGACCTCTGCCAAATGCTTGTG